GCTTGAGATGGATTTAGGCTTCTGCATCAAGGTGTTACGGCGCTCTCTTTATGTGAACCCCTCCGGCACAGGAATTGATTTTCAGCGTGGCACAGGATTTAACTTGGCGACTGTCATATTACCACAATATTTAAATTTCAAATCATACTACCAAGTAAGGAGTAAGGAACAGATTACTGAGCCTCTGACTTCTGAGTTCACGAATGACTTAACAGCACAAATGTGTCACTGAGAGATTTTTGCAGTGCTTTTTGTCTGATTGTGTCTTTGGGGGCACTGCTGATGAGCATTTTTTTTTTTTTTTTGCATCAACATGATGCAATGCCTTGGTTTGTCAGCTTTCTGACTAAGCTAAAAAAGACCTCCCTGACAGTTATTTTGACACATACTCGACATATTTTTCTGAGTCACACTGCATATTATTTTCAAAGATTAATTTAAGTATATCTTTATGGGATCTCCACTGGCATTATTCACATTTTTGAGAACACACAAGCCACCTCCACAGTCCAGTCTCAGTATTTGTGGCTTTTCGCTTGTTGCCTCAGTATCGCCGACAAACTGTGATTACAGTTTTGAGGCAGTGAACATCAGTTCCTGTGGAGCTGCAGAGGATTAAATTGCTCCTGCGTTGTGTATTAAAGACGCTGTTATGGAGGTGAAGCAAGGAAATGAACTGAGTGCAGTTTTCTTGTTGCCGACCATAAAACTGCACCGCGCTTTCACAAAGCGATATGTTTATGTAAAGACAAATTAAAAGTAAACTCTGAATACTTGACCCATTTAGTAAGGAGATCCAGTAACTCTGTCATGCAGTGGTTGGGATTTTAGAACACCTTATTAAACCCTGTCACCTGTACCCTGATTTTATTATTTTGCATCGTGTCCTTCTGGTTGCAGACACTGTTATAACTTCCTTCCTTCTTTGATAAGAAAAATCCCCCAAATTACATCACCAAGCACTGTGGAGACAGCCGTTCATCAAAGCCCTTCTTTGATCTGTTTCAATTTTGGTGTAGCTCCACTTTGTTATTTTCTTGCACTGATCAAACAGCTTTCCCATCCCGAACTTGATTATCCATGTTTTAGCGATGGAAACAGATGAAATCACATCGCTCAAATCATCCAGGCGTCGTCTTACCTGCCAGAGTGGAACATACATAGTCGGAGACTGTTACAACTTTGAGTCATGCAAGCTGAGCAGTCACCACTTTAGAAATACAGTGTAACAAAATCCAAAATACAAGCTCAGCCATTAGTTCGATGTTTACAACAATAATATTTGCTTTTACTGAAATGTCCGAGGGGGAGATTAATTCATGTCCAGTACCACAACACCGCTCACTACGACCTTGGTAACACCTCATGCACTGTATGCATGTACCTAATGGAGTCACCAGGGAGTGTACATTTGTTGTTTTTATTTAAATCTCACACCGTACTGTACACAGTCTGCTTTGCCTCTGGTTATTGATGACTGTTTTTCAGCCGAGTGTGAAAGAAGAAAAGAGCAGAGGCGAGCGGAGCAGGGTTTCGGAATTGAAAAGAGTGAAAGAAAATTGAGGCGAGTCAGCAGCAGTCAGACAAATAAAAAATAGTAAGAGCAAAGTCATGCAGGGTGATGGTTTTTCCGACAAATAACAGATACTGCAGCTATTCCTGCCAACGTGCACACACACACACCTACAGTCCAGGTCATTTCATTACTGCTCGGTCGCTCTTTTTTTTTGATGCTTCAATGTAACGGTGGCATGAAGGTATATTTCATAAGAATTAGTCTGCAGTTGAAGGTATATTTCATAAGGTATATTTCTGGCATGAAGGTATATTTCATAAGAATTAGTCTGCAGTTGGACAGACAGGTCCAAGGGAAATGCAATAAAGAAGAACACGCTGAAAATTATTTCTTTTTTTTTTAATATGGCAATGACCAGTAATGGGAAAGAGGATTGAGGAAGTGTGTCCAGAGAGATTAGATGTGCAGCACAGACTAATAGCAAGAAGAAAAAAACCAAGAGGCGATGGTGGGTGGAAGTGTGAGACAGAGTGAGAGGAAGAAGTGATGGAAGTGAAAGAAGATGAAATGAACGACATGGAGAGAATATTTGGCATTTTATCTTCTGCTAATTTAATTTATTGCTTTGTCAGGCAGAGACGCTGAGAGACAAACACACAGTCATGGGGTGGGGGAACGAGAGAGAGACAGAAAACTGATGGAGGTAATTAATGTGTTTATTAGGCTGTTTTTTAAAAAGGGAAGTGATTGACAAGAGGAGAGACAGGAGGAGGAGTCAGAACAGGCTGGACCAGACAGCGAGGAAAGACTGGGAATGCGAGTGTTAGAGAGACTCGGTGGGTGGATGCAGGAGAGATGTGATGAAATAGACCCAAGGGAAAAAGAATTGGAGGAGGTAGGGGTGAGAGAAAACAATTGGAAGTGAGGAAAGTAGACTAGAGAGGAGGAGATGAGGCTGAGAGTGTACTTTCATACATCTTTTTAGTTTAGGAGAGCTCATTTAGATTGAATTAAAAGTGAGGAGAGAACAAAGGTGAGGACAGAGAGTAATAAAACAGAAGGAAAGCTCAAGAGAGGCTGACACCAACGACGGAAGCAGGAAGAGAAAACCATTGTATCAGCTAATCCTCACTACTGTTGATAATTTAGCATCAGGAGCAGCTTGAAAGTAACTAGTGTCCTTTATTATATTTACATGCACAAACATGGAGGCGGTGACGCTCCTTATCAGCTCATTACCATTGTATTTCAACACACAAACACAAAAACACCTCAGAGCTGAGATTAAGTTAGAACTTCATATTTCCGACTTAATCCTATAACCTTCACTTCGTAGACACAGAGCTGCAGCCTTCTAATCGCTGTGATTAATTACAGTTGTGGCGCAGATAAACGGATATAATATACCAGCTGGAAATGTGAAACAAAGGAAATATTGCCTCCGGGAGAGATGTGGAGGAGATATGTGTGTGTCTTAAATGGATCAACATGAGCTGATATGAGAAACTTCCCAATTGTGCTGCTGATCCATTGTTCCGTGTCCCTTCGACTGCTGAATTTATAAAAGTATTTTTACTGTATGAATAAGTATTAATGGCTCCTTTGTCACGTAAAGGTAACATGTATTACTCATTACTCGTTACCTTTTTTAATAGTAATACAGGACGTTCTGTTGAATGACCGGGATGTAACGTAATTATTAGTTAAGAATATAAACTTACAAGCTGCAGTTCCAAACACCAACACAAATCTCTATCCTAATAAGGACACAAATAGATATTTATTTTAGTACTTACTTATGAATACAACGTGAACGTGAAATGAGACTTTAAAACTATCTCCATGGTGATGCTACTTAAAATCATGAACAGATAGAAACAGGCTGGAACCTGACCACCCAACACTGCCTTTGTTATCTGATGAAGTTCAGGCTCTGGCTGCTGGGCTGGGGTCTGCATACACTCAGCTTTAACATCACTCTGGGTTCTTTGCTTACTTTGTGTTAGCATGCTGTCTCTGCAGGTGCTTGCAATAAAGTTGTGTCATTAGTATAATGCAGCTGCTTTCATCCTGAATGGAGTTTGCACTTTAACCATTCCTCTCTTGTCTTTTTCTGTATGAAAAATAAAAGTCATGGTCATGCTTTAGACAGCTTCACCATTTTCCTCCTTCCGCGCACAAACCAAAATCAGCTGACTGTAGCACAACCTTTGTAACGTGAGCAACACATTATTGTAACTGTACATGGATTAGTTGTGTTACAGTTACAGTTACTGCAACTGTAAGTCTGCTAACGTCTGCTTGAGTCAAACTATGTGGTCAGTATTTTAATGGTGAGTTGCTGAGAAAGCTGAAGTACAGATTAGTTTTAATAAACGTTTTAGCTGATGAAAGGTGAACCTAATCTGATGGGCTGGGTTTAAGAATCTGATCAGGTGTCCTTAGTTAGCCACTGGGCAATCATGTACCTCCGTGTAATCCTAACATCCGCCCATACATTGTTGCACCACTACAGAGGCCTGTAATATGAAGGAGGTAACTTCAGAATAAACCCTTGGTTTTCAGTATCACAGTGGCGTTTCATTCTTACTGGGGTACATTGCCATGGTAACTCATGCTGCAGACCTATCCTGCTCCAGAGAAGGGTATGTTTGAGATTTTCGTTAAAAGATATGAAAACACTGCCTTCTGACCAATCAGTTCTCTGGAAAATGGCATCACCATCCTTAGAAAATCCCCTGACCTCAGTGCTGAGAAAGTACCGTAATAAGGTTTTAAGTGCATCTAAAATGTTTTTTCTTTCCTGAAATAGCAATGAACATAGATTCTTAAACACAACTTTATTCCTTGATCTTGGTCCGCGGCCACAAATAACTGCAACGTGTTTATTGTTACATAAGGATTAAAAAATTATTTCAAAACAGGAAATATATCTGTGCTTGTGAACCTTATGTTAAATTTGCATGTAGACTAAGCCTGGTGTTGAATTTTGTTTTTATATTGATTTTTTCACTTGCTTTCAGACTGTGAAACACCGGCATGGCTGCTGCTGAAAGAAGGCGTTGTGAGCTAAACATTAATTTAATGAAATAAGGATTGCAATCTATGAGATTGCCTTGTTTGTAAATCATAGTGCTGTTATAGATAAGTGTCACAGTTGACACCCCTTTCATAAACTGTACGCATGAAGCTAGATTTAGGGAAACCCTGGCCTGACTTCTCATGGTTTCCTAAATTTATAAAGTTATTCTTTTCATATATTAAGTGGCAGCATGTGGAGAGTAATTGCAGGAGAACAAAGTTGTGCATAAATGGGTGTGTGTGCCCCTGTGAGACTTGAAGGTTAACAAGGCATTTAGGTGTAAAGCAAAACGACTCGTGCTGCTTGCCAGAAACAAAGAAACAATAAGCTGCATTTGTTACGGCCGGGACCGTTTCAGACGAGTGACAGGACTCAAACGCAAGACGCCGAACAGCTCGTAAATATATTTTAAGAATAATGTTTAATGTGCACACAAAATATTCATAAACAAAAGGTGAGCGTAGACGTTAACTAAATAATGATCTGGTCCGGGTCCGGGGATTGGACTGGAAAGCAAGTCACAAAAGGTCCAGGAAAAGGTCGGGGTCACTGTAACAGAATGCAAATGTTCAAAACATAGATAAGGAGGAATATGAATATGTTGTTTGGCTCAAAATCCTCCTTCGTACTGTGTACTTGCCAACGGAGGTCGGAGATGACATGGAGGGGGAGTAATCCGGGTGTGTAAATCCTAAAAACTCCTGGCGTGGAGGCAGGTAGGTAGTTTTGGTGGTAGCCTGAGGGACTGCCAGAAGGTCCAGCATCCAAGTAGAAGCTCTTCGCCAGGGGTTTAACAGTTAGGTGTAGCTGAAAAAGGGAGGCGCACAAAAAACAAACATACAGTGAAGCAAAGGTGATTCACAAAAAAACACGTAAGGAAATTATGGTGGTGGCCTGCACTGACTGATGTTTAGCAGAGAATCTGGCGAAGAGAGATTGAGAACGCTGGCCTTATGAGTCCCCCGGCTAATTACCCACAGATGTCAACGATCAGCAAAAACACTGAGGCCCCTCCCAGGGGTGGAGACGCCGGCTCGTAGGGAGACACACTGGCACACACCCGGACCATGACAGCATTAAGGATTGCAGTAACTTTGATATTTTTTTCTGACACAGCCACATTGACTGCCAAGAAGCCAAGAAGGCTCTTTATGGAGGAGAGGGAGGACACGGGTGAGACAGTGAGAGAAAAAACTTTTACTTACAAATTTTATGTAATATGCACGATCATTAATTCACCTCAGACAGCGAGAGAGCAGAGGTGCGTTGTAATTGAATTCTGTTGTATTAGTTACTCTGACATTTGAGTCTGCTGTACATTTATGCACACGCAGTGGGGCAGGAAGTGGATATACTGACTGAGAAGCGTGAGGGGGGTGGATGGAAACAGAAATACATAGACAAAGAGAGGATATGTGTGAGAGAGATTAAAAGGATGGACTAAAAGGTTATCTCATCCCCCTGATGATGCTCTTGTACTGAGTGGGGTCATTGAACCTCAGACAAAAGGGGCGAGGGGTATTATGGGAGAGGAGGGAAGAGTTTCCCAGCTGAAGTGAGGAAGTTACAATGGTAGCAAGGAGAGATAAAGAGGGTGAGGAAAATGGAAATGGGTTTAGCGCGCCACTGTTTCAGTTTCACTTTCATTTGTTTCCCTGTCTCTTCTTATCCACCATTTGAGTCCCTGTTGTCCTTTCACCCCCTGCCTGTTTTACACTATGTTCATATTTGAAATTCATTTTATGCAACAACCACTGCAGGCGAGAACAGCTAGGAGGGCTGTGGAGCAATGGTTAGCACTGACTCGCAGCTTGTGGTGGATTGGCAATTTGTCCAGCATGACTTTGTCTTTGACACCATGTAAGCTTTTCTACGTTGAAGACTCAGTAACAAGATGTTGGATAACGAGTTATGGATGATGTGGCAGCTATGCTTCCTTATTTTTTGTCATGCTATTAAACATGGTTAAAGTTTAAAACAAAAACTCTGGCTTCATACTGAATTACACACTTAGTTTCAGACAGTTTAATTATTCCTGGATCTGTATGATGTCAGTGAGAGTGGATATCTTTCATGTAGTCATCTCAGGGACACAGCTACGGGAAAGACCACAGAAGCCCGACCAGCCTATTGTTAAAAGCCTGCTTACAAGAGGCAGCCAATCAGAAGATTGTTGGCTTAAAGGGAGGGGGGAGAGAGCTAAAATGTCTTGACAAAGAGACTGGATCAAGGCCCTGGAAAAGATAAATATGGATTATTCTGGACTATGAATTATGCAAAGCTAGTGTACGGGAGGAAGATGGGAAATGTGGAGTTAGACATTAACATAACAGGCCCACTCTAAGATCAGTATGCTTACATGATCACAGCGATGATCGTGCTTTAAAAAAGAGTTTATTGTTGTGTACAGCAAAATCAGGGTTCACAGACACCAGGAGAGAAGAAAAAGCTGGCATAAACAGGATGGAGCCATTTGAATCACTCCTGAACATATAACTTCCATCCATCCATCCATCCATTTTCTACTGTTTATCTGGGTTCGAGTTGTGGGATGTAGCAATCTGAGCAGAAGCTCAATAGTTGTCAGCACATTTAATTAAAAACCAAAAATGTTAGCAGCTGACAGAAAGAGGCAAAAAGAGAGATTACTAAAATCATCAGGATCCATCCTCACCTAAACTATTTCAGGGGCAGGTTTAGATAATAATAGACAAAAGGTCTGTCTGTAGTGTCATGCATGTTTTAGCTGCTAAAATATAACTTATATGCAGTGGAGATGGGTAGGTTGATAGATAACGTCAGGCAGGAATCTTCCATGCACTATGATGTTTGCAGATGACACTGTGGTGAGTTAGGGAGCAGGTGGAAGACAGCCTGGAGAGTTGGAGGTATGCACTGGAGAGAAAGTGAATGAAAGTCTGTTTAAGTGAGAGAGAAAAGATGTGTGTGAATGAGAGAGAGAGAGAGATAGGTGAAAAGTTGAAGTTGCAAGGAGAACATGTAATAATGGTTGATGAGTTTAAATATCTGGGATTATCCAGAGATCAAAGCAACAGAAAGTGCACAAGAGAGGTTAAGAAATGAGTGGAGGGAGGGTTGATAGGGTGGAGATGAGTACCTGGGGAGGTCTATGAATGAAAGAGAAAACAGCAAAAGTGAAAGGGAAGGTTTATAAGACAGTACAGAGACTTGCTATGATGTGAGATTTTTATTGGGAGTGACCAGAATGAACTGGATTGGAAATGAGGACATCAGAGAGACAGTCAGGTTCAGTGATTTGGAGACAAAGTGAGAGAGGCAAGGTAGAGATGGTTTGGATGTGTACAAGAAAGAGATGGTGGATAATTTGGGAAAATGATGTTGAAGATGGAGCTGCCGACAGAAGGAAAAAAGGAAGACTACAAAGGGGGTTTATAGATTTAATGAAGGAGGACATGAAGAGGATTGGTGTGACAGAAGAAGATAAGAAAAAGGTGAAATGAAAGCAGATGATCTGCTGTAATGATCTTATAAAGGAAGAAGATAAAAAACAAGAAGAAGTTTAAAGAAAAGTGCAAAAGACATGTGTGGACAAACATGAGTCTCTGTAGCTCATACATTCTGGAACTACCCAAACATTTCAAGCTTTTGGACTAATTCATACTAATTCAACATTTGAGACCTTTTCTGAGGTTCTTTAGAAGCAGATTATTTTGGACCTGGTCCTGGCCCTATTTGGGGTAAAAGCAGCCACACAAAAATTGTCAAACAATCAGTACATGTTGGTCTGATTTGTGTTAATGCTGGCGCGATGACTCATTTTGTTGAACTGGAAACAAAAGAAACCACCAGCTCATCGAGTGAATAAACCACTTACAGAAAAGATCAAATTCTCATCAAGAAGAAATAAAATTGATTCATTTTATGCAAGATGGGAACCCTTTATTGATTATTATAATAGATCCAAGTCAGGAAAGACTCCTATCTACAGTGGGACATCTTCGTTTCCTTTCTTCCTCCTTGTCATTTCATGTTTGAGTTGCTATATTTCACCAAAAATAAATGAATAAATACAAAACATTAAAACATTATGGGAGTCTACTATTGTACATTAAGTATCATGAAACTTTGCACATGTAAGGGCCATAAACAGATGTTAACAGATGTTCCTGTTTGAACTTATTTGGATGTTAAACAGATGAGTTATGTTGTTATTGTTTTAGTAATGATGTCTTTTAATCATAGGATGAAATCATGTTTGTTGATACTATGGTAAGACATATGTTTCTCTGCTGAGGTCCACGACGTGCTGAGACAATGAGGCCAACGAGTGAAATATCAACAACTTTCCACGCACGCATTATTTTAATGAATCGCGGCTTCTTTGAAAGCGTACAACCGCTCTTTTTGCGTGTACGCGTCATTACTCCTCTCATTGCTTACATCCCCTTGGTATCGTTAAGTCAGTATAAACCAGGTGGTTTTCCAAGTAGCTGTCTCTGATTTCTCTTTGGAAACGTGCGTGAAATGTGGCTTTGTGTAGCTGTAACTGCAAACACTTAAATGATGAAGCATCCGGTGAACCACTGTGGTTGAATTTAAACCATATTGTGCAAGTTCAAAAACACACACGCACCTCAGTTGTCCTTCATTTTTTCCCCTCTTTTTTTTTTGAAAACGGATTTCTTACGTTTAACCTTTGAAATGGAAAGCTTTGGAAACATCCCCCTAATGAAGGTACCCCTTTAAGAATAAATTGAGGATTAAACAGAGGATCACAGTGTCTCTAATCCTCTGTTTCAGTTATTACTAATTTGGGAGAGGATTTACAGAGGGGTGCTAGAGGATTTTTAGGAATAAAGGAGATGAGAGAGAAGGAAGGACGCTTAAATGCAGAGACCAGAGAAGCAGACGGAGTGGGAAGATGAAGCGGGTGAAAAGGAGAGCAGCAAAAACAAGGAAGCTCTTCTTTGAACGTTGTGATCATCTGTGAAGATGAAAGGCCAAGATGATGTATAAGTAACAAGGTAGAGCGACAGATATGAGAATGGAGAATCTGTTATGAGTCTCATCTGAGTTTAGCATGTTAGCATATTAACTCTCTAATCTAAGCTACTGAAAACATTACAGCAGTGAATATATGTCATCTACTATTGTTTAGCACAGCCTCACACAGCATCCAGCATGGCTATAAACTCCTTGTCTTGTTACAAATTTCAGTCTGGTGAAAATGGATCATATGTGGCGTACGCTTCATGTCCATAGGTTGTATGTATGAATTTTACTCAACAGCTGCTTCAACCATTTAGCAGTTTTATATTGGGGAACATTTTGTTCAATGTTCAAATTAAAACTAAGATGCATGTTTTTGTATGTTAAAATTTCACCATTAATTTTTTGGGTCAATAATATGAATTCAGTTATTCCCTTTATCTGTGTCTGAGAAATCTGACCCCTATGAAACACTATAATTCAGCAACAGTTTGCCCAAAGCTGCGAAACCAACGCAAAATGATTTCCCTCGTTTTGGTGGGGAGATTTTTAAATGCAGTATGTATCAAGTTTCTTCTTCCCTTCAATAATTTGTCTTTGTCTGCACAAACCTTTACTTTTACTAAAAAGTAAACGTTTTTTAAACACAAGTTGATTAAGGTCATGAGATGACATGTTAGTACCTAGCAGTTAACACAATGGTCTAAAATATCTGTTACCTGGCAACCCTGTAAAAGTTGGGTAACAGGGTTGCCAGTGCGTTTCAGGGTTTAGGCCTATTGTCATAGATTATACATACATTGTTTTTAATTAAAAACATTAACTATTATTATTATTATCATCATCATAATTTGTAGTATTATCATTATACAAAAAGTATATGGTAAACTATCCAAAAGCACACTTGCATAGTATTAAATAAAAGCGTGTGATTCACATGATACGTTTAGAAAGGATTGATGGAGCTGATATAAACACCATTATATTGTCTAGGCACCGTAGAGATTCTACTGAATAGATAAATCCATTCATACTAGACTTTCCTACCTCAT